TTTGTGATGTATCGTCGAGGGGGTTATTATTGTATTTGTCGAGGGTGCCCATCCAAAACAGGTAGAGGACTAAGCTTCTTTCCATTCCCGAAGACTCGAGCAGGTAGTGTAATTAGCTATGTATTACAAAATTTGAAATATATTGAATGTATACTAGAATTATTAAGTATATATTTTGATAATTAATAAAAATCTAAATTTATGTACATTATATACCTACCTAAACAGTATTGAATGAAATAAACTAAACAATTTTCTTTTAAAGCTTCAGCATGGTTGAGAGCGTGCAATAGAGAGGATCTTCTCGAGAAAAATCCAGAGACACATAATTATCGACTTTGCGAGCTACATTTTGAACAAAAATATTTGTTCAAAGGTGGACTTCGGAAAACTTTATTTGTTATCTTTGTATAAAATGTTACAAATGGTCCGTAAGTAATGGCCCATAGAGAAATACTGGATTCTTTACTTTTAAGATTTTTTAATAATAAAAGCTCGTTACTTAAAAGCTTTACGTTACTCGTAAAAAAGTTACGCTCACATTTACGTCACATACATGGCTTATGTGGTGCCCTCTAGAAAATACTCAAAATAAATAACAAATGATCTTTCGTACCAAAAACATTTACCCTAAAATTTTTACATTCTTATCAATAACATAATTATTACCAAAATTAAATTTTTATCTTCGACACCCTGTATCTTTTTTATTATCAACATTTTATTAAGAAATGTTGGCTCCAATCGTAATATTTTGAAGTAAAGAATTTAGTATTTCTCTATGGGCCATTACTTATGAATAGTAAATAATATTGTGTATTTAATATTAAAAAATAATTTTTTTTTGTGGTATTTGGATTTATTTATAACTATATTCCATCTACACAAAATTTTTAATTATAGTAGTAACAGACGTGTATCATGTGTAAATCAAATTAGCTTTTTTTTAATTAAGCATAAAATCATGCCTTACATCGACAACCAATGTAATATAATTTATGTCCAACTGATTGTTTTATGACACAAGCTATTGAAAATTGTACTGGAATTATGGATTATATTATTCATTCATATAAAAATTTAAAGGCTTAATATCTCAAAGTAAATTTTATAAACAGTTTTTTCAGTATATCTCTGATAACCTTTCTCTCAGTGTAACATGTTCACCACCGTTCAAGGTCGAATATTTTCACCACGCCAACATCAAAGGAGCCGTCGTTTATATCGCTTCTGTGTAGTTAGAATATTCTGTGTTTCGGGTAATAAGTTTGTTTTTAGATAAATTGGTGAGTAGGTTGCGAGTAACTTGTGTGTGAAAGTCAGAAGTTCCAGCTTCCAGCATTCATCAAATTTTAGCCATTTAAGTTCTCTGATTTTATGTGTCACATGATCGAACTTACGCAATTTAAATATAAACCGGCAGCAAGTGTTTTGCACTTTTTGAATTCACATTTTATTATAATAATCTAAAAAAGGATAGTACATTATTAAACAGTAGTAAAAAATAGGTAGTATCATAGTTTCACATAATTTTTTCCTAACTTTAAAGTTTATAATACTGCTATGTAATGAACCTTTTTTTATTTTTGGGATTTCCAGATTTTATTTATATTTTCAGTAATGAACTTATTTTATTTTGCTCCCGATGTATTATAATTGTTTGGCGCACCGCGATTTTGCACACGGTCCACGAAGTCGCTGTTTCAACGGCTGAAGTTGCACACGGTACTACCAGCCGTTCTGTATAAAAGCAACACCAGCCAGTGCTTAGTAGGTCTTTCCACAGCACTCAACCCTCCTATGGGTGTCCTAACCAGAGCGTTTAGCAGGTCTCTTCCGCGGCGCTCAAGGTAAGGTACACACCTGGACTCCGACTCCAGGTACTTAGCAGGTCTTTCCGCGGTACCTGACGTCTACCTCGTGGCCAACTCCGGGTGTTTAGCAGGTCTTTCCGCGACACTCGGCGTCGTCACCGTCAGGACATACATATTGCCTTCGTGACAATAGGTATCCCGATGTTTCTGTTAGTTATATGGGTGGGGCATTATTGTTAATGTTATATGTGTTTACAGACTGCGATTTATTTTGGAAAACAAAAGTTTTATTTATACCAAGTCTTGTAATATTCCCGAACCATGGAAAACACTTTTCCACCGAGTGAACCCGGACTGTGACTGTACTAGTTCGACGTCTGCGACCGAACCTCGAAATTACATCACAGCTATTTGCAAAAAGAACTTTCAGACGAACATAAGATTTTTTCAAAAGTGAATTAACATGACTATTGAATTTCAACTTATTGTCGAAAATTATACCCAAATTTTTAGCTTCTTGTGAAAAGGTGAGATCGGAACCGTTTAATTTTATACATAAGTTGGAAATAAGGTAGTCATAAAAACTACGAGAACAGTATAATAATGCCGATGATTTTTCAGCATTCAGTTTCAAATTATGATTTTTACTATACTCAATGAGTGACTTAAGGTCTGAGTTTATTTGCTCATTTGCTTATTCTACATGTAAAGGGTCAAAATTATATAACATTTGGGTATCATCAGCATAACATTGAATTGTACAAAAATTGATGTGATATTTTAAATCCATAGTATAAATAATGAACAGAAGGGGTCCCAATATCGTCCCTTGAGGAACTCCTGTCTACCATTAGATGTCCCACTATTAGTTTTCGCTCGTTGTACACGATTACTTAGTGTTTGAAAAATTGTAAAGAAGTTTTATCAAGACCATAATAACTTAACACGTTGACTGCGGTACATACCTTGGGGGGTATGTACTCATTATAAAAAATATGTGAATCTCAATAATCACATTTTTACTGTATCTTGTGGAAGTTGCAGAATCTGTACTTTTTAGAAATAATGATTTTTATATTATTTTCTTTTCAAAATTCTTTGTGAATGAAAACGTTAGTATCCTAGGATATACAGTTACAGATACATGCAAGTTTATATCAATAATTGTGTTATTTTTAATTTTATAGGGTCAAATGAAAAAAAAATTACATATCCCCAGGGATATGTACCGCACACAAAAGAAGTTTTGTTACATATCCCCGAAGATATGTATCGCAGTCACGGACAAAATACGTTGAGATTATCTCGCAGTCAACGTGTTAACTTCGATATCAATAAAGGATGATTAACTTAATCGAAGGCTTTTGAATAGTCCAGAAGTATTAACGTAGCTGCTCTATGTATGTCTGTAGCACGAACAATATTATCAGAAACATTTAACAAAGCCGCACAAGTACTATGGCCAGATCGAAATCCAAACTGATGGTCAGGAAGGAGATCGTTGGTTGCCAAATATTTTTCAAGCTGCAAATAAACAACTTTTTCTAGAATTTTACTAAAAATAGGTAAAAGAGAGATGGGACGGAGGTCTTTATAAGTAGCCGGATTAGTGATTTTAGGAATGGGGCATATCAGTGACTCTTTCCATGCTGACGGAAAATAGCCAATTTCCATACAACAGTTGACCAAATGAGTGATGTAGACGTATATAACTGGAAGGCACCATTTAATCATATACAAAGAAATACCATCAATGCCAGCTGCATTTGATTTAATATCATTTATTATTTTTAAAACATCTTCGGGATCCCCGGGGCAAAGAGAGAAAGTCAAGTTATTTTTGAATTTGTTATTAGAATATGATTTGAGCATTATATCATTTACAGGAGTGTTATCGAACACAGACAGAAAATATTTATTTATTTCGCAACTATTGTTCAATTCTTCAGGCAAGGAATTACAATTACTTTTGATAACATTCAATTTTCTTTATTTGACAGGTGCTTATTACAGGTGCGTAAAATAACGTTTTAATTCAGTTGCTAAGATGGTTTTGAGCCTTTTGTTTAGAAGAGGCTTATCGGGATGTCTTGCGTTGAATTCAGCGCATTGCGTAAACTTAAGCCAATAACATGAAGAAAAATTAATTCAACTTTCTCTTGTGGATTAAATAACTAATTCATCTTAGGAACTGAATTAAACCATTATTTTTTATACACATTCAAATACACCAGCTGTCAAATAACACAATGACAGTACAATAATGGTAGCTCCTTTAAAACGACACAATTTTTGTTTAATTTCCAAGACCTACAATTGCTATGTTAGCTTCTTTTAGTTCCTGCCGACTATAGATTACTTCCGTTGCTTTTGCTGATTGTTCTAAAACGGCTACTCCAATAAAGAAATGTGACATAACATTGTCTATTTAGAATTTGAAGGTTATCAAATTATGTTAATAAAATACGATGTTGCCATTTAAAAAATATTGTTTTAATAGCTACTGCAGAAATCTGGCAACACCAGAAAAAATTATTTGTAAATTTTTCTTAATCAAGTTTGCAACTTTGCATTTGAAAGTACTAGTTTATCACTTCAAATAAAAAAGTTGGCCCATGTCAGGTTTTAAAAAAATAATACTGTATATACATACAGGGTTTTCATTAATGTCCGAGACCCACGTGACCAAATTGGTTGTCACTATCAATAAATTTGATTTTCTTAAGTTGGCTATTACGAAAAATTTCAAGTTTAGGGACCCAAAACCAGCTGTCAGTCCAGAGGCGTCCACGGTACCGCGGCCGATAGTTTACGTCATTACTTTCTTATGCCAATACGCTTTCCCTTGATTGTTTTTCTGATGTACCAACATTTTTACGTTTATTTACTTTACTGACAACAGTTCTTTTCAGAAGTACAGAATTTGTTTGTGTTTTTTACGTAAGTAAATAATGTATTTCAAGGTTATGTTTACTTATATCTGTTTCATATTTTTAGACTTCAAGTGTTTAAAAATGCCTTTTACACCTGAGCAAGATGCCTATATTTTAAAGGCAGATTTTCGGAGTGCCACGCGAAATCCAGATGGAATTTGGTCATATTCATTACAATCCTGTATTGATCAATTCACTGAAGCTTTCCCTGATGTAGACGTTGATTTTGACGTTTTTGGGAAGCACAAATCAATACTTGTCAAGAGATATGATGAAAAACATTGTATTTGTAAGGGGAAATCAACAGGCAGGCCAACAGTTTTAACTTAAAATGCAGATGACGATATTCGACAACGTATGGAGCAGAGCCCTAAAAAATCTATCCCCCAGTTGTCTGCCCAAGCAGGTATGCAGGTAGTTTTTATGTTACACACATTAAATACTTGAAACTACATTTATAATTAACTTAAAAGCCTTAAATTTAATTTCTGTGTATTAATCTGAAATTCTCGTAAGACGTTGTGAGAATGTGAGTCTGCAGTGTTAACTGCAGAGCAGAATCATGTAGACAAAATGAAGCAGCACAAATTTGAGACTGTTATATGTTGTAAAAAAATAAAAATGTTATATTGTTTAAAGATAACGTATGTACATTTCTGAATATTTGTTTGTCGATAGGGTTCTTGGTGGGAACGTGTCACAAGGCCTTAAAGAAGGATTTGCACATGCACCCATACAGTCTCTATTGTTCAGCAGTTGCATCCACCAGACTACTACCAACGAATACGTTATTGTGAATGGTTCAATGAAAATCTGAACAACGATTTATTGAATTTGACGTTTTTTCTGACGAGGCACGGGTCCATCTATCAGGTTACATTAACAGCCAAAATCACAGAATGTGGGCTACAGAAAACCCACATGAGTTTATTGAAACTTCGCTACATCCTCAAAAAATTGGTATATGGGTAGCCGTTTCAAGGAGGCGGATAATAGGACCAATTTTCTTTCGAGAAGTGATAAATGGTGAAAGGTATAGGGGGATTTTACGACAAGCTTTAGAGCAAATGCATGATGACAAATTACGGTTTGGATATTTTCAACAAGATGGGGCACCAGCACACACCGCAGCAGAAACGGTTAGATATTTGGAAGAATTTTATGGGGATCGAATTATTAGTAGGGGATTGTGGCCTAGTCGAACCTCTGATCTTACACCTTTAGATTATTATCTCTTTGGACGTATAAAAAATAATATTTTCAAGCAGCGAGTTCACACACTTGAAGACCTAGAAGTAACAATTCACCATGAAATCGAATCCATTACGCCAAATGAATTGGAACGTGTTTTCGAATGCATGAAATGGAGGATAAATTTATATCTAGAAAATGAAGGAGGACATTTTGAACACTTTTTATAATAAAAACTAACCAAAATACCACTCACCAAAACACTTTTTAATTGTGCGTTGAGAATGTTAACTTTGTTAACAAAACGCAGCATCGGAAAAAGTAGAAGTGTTTTGGTGAGTGGTAAAATTATTTTCTGTTTTGTATCGACATCAAACGTTCCAAACCTATCCTAAGATAAACAAAACTATTGTGACTTATTTATATTCTCTACCTGTTAAAACTTCTAGTTTAAATTTGAACAAGTGTAAACATGACTAATTTTTTACCTGGAACATAAAAATTTTATGGCAAGATGTATGCAATATGTAATAAATAAAATTATTAATAAATATTAAATGTTCAACAATCAATTGTAAATTGTTTTAATTGGTAAGGCAAATTTTTGCGGGCGAGCTTATACAGATTGTGACAAATATTTTTATGGAAAAGGTACTGGTAATAATACCAAGATTGTTCATGTTTCTTTCAGTTTCTATTTAGTATATATGCTGTGTTTTATTCAAAATAAAATCGTAAAATTTATCGTAAATCGTAATTTAACACAACATAATGTAAAACTATAAGTGGTCTAACTGCTCCAGACGTATATATTCGCACGCGGTAAACTTTCGCGCAGGGCGCGGTAGCTACGTTCAGACGTATTGCGCAGCGAAAGGGTTAAATTACCTTTTCCTTTGATAAAAATAAAATATCTACACCACTGGTGCTATAGACTGATTCAGTGTTTTAATTTTTATGAAATACCAATTTGTATTGGGAAATGTAATGTTGGTTGCCTATCGTCGCGGTCACGTGGGTCTCGGACATTAATGAAAGCCCTGTAAATAATTATACATTTTTAGTTTTTTGAGGCATTTTTTGATCTGTAAACCAAAAAAGTGCTTTTTGAAAAACAAAAATTCCCAAAAAACTGTTTTTCAATATGCGAATTTATGAGACAGGTTCTAGAGTGAGATTTTTTATTCAATTTTTTTCAAATTAAAAAAATAATAATTGGTATTTTAATTTTACTATTAAACCAAATTTTATTATACAAATTGCAATGTTTATTAAAAATACCATATTT